AATTTATCAGGAATCGGATCAGAAAGCGGAGCCGGCAAAAATCGAAATTCCCTGTTTTCGCTTGTCGACACCCATTTCTGTAATTAGTCAAAATAAATGACTTTATAAGTCATAAAACTTTATTATAAATTTTTTTTTAGTATGCAATTTATTTACATTGCTAAAAACTTGGATAGTGATTCATAAGTTGATATCATAAGGGCACAGCTTACTGCTACTTTGGCTATTCGCAAAGCTCCACCTAAATGGAATTAACTCAATTAATAATTTTTTTTTTAATAATTTAACTAAACAATCAACATACCTCTGAATAACCCTTGATATCCTTCCTCATGAAATATTCTTTGCATAATTTTAACCATGCTTGGATTTTTCTCTAAATAAAAAGTAAATTCAATTACCATTTTCATTATTTCAAAAAAAAATGTAAAAAATTATAAATCTACTTACTTGAATGTGAAGCAACTTGTCGTTGAGTTTTTGCCACATCAAAAGGAGTTGTTAATGTTGCTGCAATCTAAAACATAAAAAAAAGACGATATTGATATATGACTGCGAGAAGTAAAGTCTATAATCGTGATACAATTAATTAACTAACCATGCCAGAAGTAGCTCCGCTCACAAAGGCAACTGAAAAATTATTTATATTTCCATCGATACTTTTGTTTCGTAGATAATTACTAAAGTTTCTTTTTATTGATTCATAACCTGTCCAGTATATGGCTGAAATAAAAAAAAAAAAGTTTATTGTATGGATTTGCCAGTATTATAAAAGAGATGATAAAAGTAAATAACAGGTGAATGTACTATACCTGAAAATGGAACATCCCGCCATAACGTAGGTTCTAAACCTCGCCATAATGATGTGATACCATTTCTTCTGACCATCTCTTGCACACCCTTCATAACATCTTTTAAACCATTTATACCTTCTGGACTTTGCATCCTGGTTCTAAGCAATTCTATTGGTGATATCACTGAGACCGAAAATGCTAAATAATAAAAGGCCATTAAGAAATGAAGAAAAAAAAAAAGTTTCGTTACTGTAGCTAATATATTGATAAAACCTACTCCTTGCAAGGGTTCCAGCCACTAGCGGTGAATACGTTTCAGAGTATTTCCCTTTCCAATGTTTCCATAATGAATCTCTAATAGAATCATATCCAACAAAATAGACTACAGTCAAGGGAACAGACATTACTCTATAACAATATTTCAAAGAAAAAAAAAGTCAGAGGAAATCTATGTAGGCTTCTTATGAGATAATAAAGTAAACTGACAATCCAGGTGAAAGTCCTCGCCATAATGATGTGACCCCTTCATAACGAACGATTTTAACAATGCCATCCTGTCGAATATTAATAAACATAATGAATATTAATGAACATTCACGAGTATAAGTAGACTATGAATATAATGAATGTGAAAATTTTGATGAATTTGAAGAATGTGAATAAACGTTAAGAATATCGATGAACATCTATGAATGTTAATGAACATTGATAAACTATTGAATAACAATTTATAAACGAATTGTAAAAAAACCTATTATTGTATCTATGATTATTTATTATCTGATAAATGAAGCTCA